GTATCCATGGAATAGGCAATTGCCTTAGTGGAGAATGTCTCTTCTCCTTATCTGTCATAGAACCCTGGGCTCCAGGTATAGAGATTCCGAATACATAACCATTAAGCCTCATAATTGTCTCATGTAAGTTCAGGGTGTGTCCAAGATAAGAATTTATTAGTTGATTCCCGAACAATTCCTAGTACATTGGCAAGGTACTAGTTGCTTCATAGTCAACACCTCAATTCCTCTCCCTTCCCACTCTTCAAGGAAGTTGATAAAATCCTTAATTTGTAATCATTGAGAAATAAATGTGCATTTATTTATTCAGTTCATTCCAAGTTAACGTGACAGTTTGTGGGAAGCAGCACTTCCTGGCCTCTACCCCTGAGCCACTGTCTTGCAACTGGCTCCATTAGATGAACACCAAGGTTTGGGGGAGGGCAGGGGAGGAAGGGAGAAAGTCCATAACAAAGAATTTCCCTCAGATTTGTTAGCATCTTTCCTTGAAATTTTCCCCACATAGTTCCCTTAGAGCAGATTGTACAGTAGTGGTTCTCAGTGTGTTGTTTCTTTAGACCAGTGTTGCCCAAACTTGGCCACTTTAAGATGAGTGGACTTCAACTCCCAGAATTCTCCCAGTCCACTCATCTTAAAGTGGCCAAGTTTGGACAACACTGCTTTAGACCCACCAATTACCCTATCCCAGAACCTTTGTCCCAACAAGGCAGAAAGAAGTCTACAAGAAGAACAGAAAAGCCCCGCTGGATAAGGCTAATGGCTGCATAGTCCAACATTCTGAGTCCAATTATGTCCAGTTGGATTCCTTTGGAAATTTATAAGCCTGGAACAAGAGTCCCTTTTCCTACATTTAAATCCATTCAGAAGGTGGTCAACAGCCATTATAAGTAGCCATGATAGGCTAAACCTTCATGAACCTGTCCACTCTCTTTTAAAAACCAGGCTTCTGTTACCTCAAGTGCTAGGAAAGAAATCCATAGTTTTATTATGGGCCATGTGGAAAAGCTTTTCCTCTGTTGGTCCTGAATCTTCTTGCTTTTAGTTTCAGTGAATGAGCTTGCTTTCTAGTACTGTGAGGGAAAGACTACATTTTCTCTCTCTCCACATTATCTACATCATGCATGATTTTAGATACCTTTGCCCTGTCTCCCCTTACCTTCATTCCAAGCTAAAAAGACCACCCCTTCTGAGAAGGTCATCTATATGTTTGTTTATATAATTGTTGTGTTATTACATTTATCATTTAGGGTGAGTTTGAAAAGTATAACACAACAATATATTTAGTGTCCTACCTAAACTCCTTCCAAATCCAGCTATGGTTTGTGTACAATGAGTTGAGAAACACCTTTGTAAAATCAGGACAAACACACCCGTGCATGTGCAATCTTCACTTCAGTTTCCAACAAACCCCAGGGTTTTCCAGAATTCACTTCAAAGTCTCTGTTCCATTCTGTGCCCTGTTTTTTGAAAGAATGACTTAGTTGGGACCAGTCTGTCTCTCTTTTTAACAATACTTCAGCTCAGGGTTCCTCAACCTTGGCGACTTGAAGATGTGTGGACTTCAACTCCCAGAATTCCCCAGCCAACCATGCTGG